AGCGTCGTCAGAGTGCGCTGGACCGCTGGTGAAGATGCATCATTTGCCAGTAAGTTCATCAATGGGAGGGATTTCTCTGTCATCTCTCCTGCAGCCACTTTTGGCCTGTATCTCTTATGTACCTTCTTATCTTGATGCCCTCTTGTTGCCCCAGGAAGAAATGCTTACAGAAGACTAGAGGTCTCAGGAATGAAAAGCATATGGGCCACTTTTCTTCTCCAAATAAAAATACAGTAAAACTCACTGGAAGCGATTGTGGGTCTTTCAGTAATGTAAGAGGAAGAGTGTTTCCATAGGCTTCGAGAAGACGTTTTTAGGATTAAGAAGTACCCAGGCCATGAACAGTAGACTTGTGGTTATGTAACTATCACTGGTGATGAGGGTGGGATCTAGTCAGGTGGGCCAGGCCAGGTGACTGGCCTCCACCTCCAGCAGGTACTGTTAGAGTTGGAGCTTTTGGAGAGAAGTCAGTAATGAAATGGCCCCTAATCTACCTCTCCTCTCCTGGCTCCCCGGTTCCCCACTCGTCCCTTCATGACCTTCCTGATCCTTTGTAGCTGCTAGGAGTTCAGAGGTTCAGTGCCCCTTCTCTCGTACAGGAAAGCAGGACCTGCTAGACAGCGACTGTGCAAAGGCTTACACTCGCTCCTGGGGGTACAAGAATCACCACAGCTTGTCTGGGATTATAAGACATCGTCTTACCTTTATAAGCTGTTTAAGCTGTGTACACGTGGTATATGAGATAGGTAGCTCTAAGACTTCTTAATCCTAGGAATGTCTGTTTGGGATTATAAGACAGACTGACATGGAGCCTGACATAATTTTACAGGACCAGGTTATACTGATTCTGGTGTTTTTGTGCTTATAAAGATAGTGGTGATTATTTCAGCACATCAGTATTTCTGGTATCGGTTGATAGCATACCAAAGCTGACAAGGTTAGGGCCTGGAGAAAAACTGTAAATAAATTCCATAAACAAAAAGCATCTCTTTACCTTTACTCTCTGTCTCCTCTCGCTTTTAAGCATATATATCGTATCTCTTTTTGCTTGTTTTCTTCTTAATTATTCGTCTTGCTTTATGTGTCCTATAATGTGTGGGGAATTTGGAAGGGCGTCTCATTCATTGAGCAGCTAGCAGGGGTCCACTGTACCGAGTGGTGGGACAGAGCAGGGGCCGCATGGACGCGCCCCGCCCTGTAGAATCGGCCTGTTAGCAGCAGGGCGGAGGGCGGGCGCAGGAACCAACACGGTGCCTTCCATCAGCGCTCAGGGCAAGGGAGGAAGGCAGGCTGGAGGCTGCGACGTGGACGGAGGAGAGCCTCTCAGGGTGGGGACAGACGACTCTGAAGATGAGGTGTCCTTTGAGATGAGGTCTGCAGCGTCACGGGAGCCGGCCGTGAGGAGGGTTCTGGGCAGAGACAGCAGTGGGACAGAGGGCCCGAGGTGGGGACAGGATGAGCCTGTTTGAAGAAGCCAGAGCCTCTCTGTGTGGCCGGGGGGTCGTGAGCAAAGGGAACGGTGTGGGATGAAGTTGGAGAGGCAGGCAGGGCTGCGCAGGCTGGGTGCAGGGTCACCCACTGATCGCCGTGGCTGATTTGGCTGCCGTGATGGCCTGAGCAGCCGGTCTTGCTCTCCAGCCCCCTGGCCGTCTTTCCTGCAAGCACATGCTTTGACTTGCCGTACTGAGCACATTTGTAGCTGAGAGCTTTAAACAACCGGTTCTGCACTGACTTCATGGGAAAGTGGTGTGAGGAATTGTTTTATCTTGGATTTAATTGTTAAAAGGTTTCGTACAGAAGAATGCGTTTTCCCGTAGGAGGGGTGGCGGTGGGAAGGCAGTCTGCGGAAGGAAAGACAGATGGACGGGACAGGGCTCCCCTGGTCCTGGGTGGCCGGGGCTGCCGGAGGGGCAGGGAGGAGGGTCTTCTTTCTGGCTGCAGCTTCCCAAGGGGCTCTGGGGGTTGAGGAGCGGGGTTCTCTGCCCAGGGGAGAAGGGAGCTGCTTTCACAGGAAGGGGCTAGGAGGTAGCAGCTGTTTGTATGTGGTTCTCTTATGATTGGCTGTCGTTAAGGTCTGCCCGTCTGCCCCGTTCCAGGTGTGCATGTTCTGGATGGGAGGTAAGTTCCAGGGACACCACACAGGCCAGTGTGGGAAGGTTTCAGACTTGGGGGCCTGAAAGACAACGAGGTCAGTGCTGGCTCAGGCGACCGGAAGGGCCTCAGGAGGTTCCAGCGAAGCTCGACTTTGACGGGGGCTGGAGGTGGGGAGTGCTCCCGGGGGGGACAGGAGAAGCAGAAGCATGGTCAACAGGCCAGCCGCACAGGTCGCAGGACAGTTTGAGTGGAATCGAGGGTACAGGGCGATGGACAGAAGAGAAGGACTGAGCCCTTCTCTTGGAAGAAAAACCTTAAATAAAAGGCTGTGGATGGAGCGCCTCTTCCCACGGCAGGGAGCCCTGAACGAGGGCAGTGGGGCTCTCAGCTGTCGGGGAGCCGGGGGCTTTGTCTGGTCTTGTGCTCTTCAGGATCTGCCTCACTGAGCCTCAGCTCCCTGGGAAAAGCAGACACCAAGAAGCCCCTCATGTGCAGTGTTTGCCAGTTTCTGTGGTGGAAATACTGTCCCCGGACCGATTTCTGGCTTCCAGGGTGATGTCACCGGGATGATGTCGCCAGGGTGACGTCACCGGCAGCCAAGCTGGGAGAAGGTGTGTGTGATTGGCTCCCACGCGCCAGTGCCTGCATCTCGCCGGGTCTGTGCAGCCGATGGCCAGCGTGGTGGACGTTGTGGCACCACGTGCAAAAACGCTGAGCTCTTCAAAGGACGAGGGTGGCTCTTGGTCATTATGATCCTTGCACTGTCCTTATAAAAGGACATGTACTCCGAGTAATCCTTATACCGTCAATGTTTTTTACAAAAGAATATACTCATGGAGGGGCCACAAAGGAGGAGGGTTCTGCCCGATCCTGAAGGAAGCTGTGGGAAATGTTTGGGGACAGGTTGGTCTGGTGGAGTGGGCACTAGGAAGTAGATGCTCTTAATGTGTTTAAAATGTTGAGCTGAAAGAGAAAAACCTGAGCCGACAGGTGTTTGTGTGACCTTTTCTATTTTTCCTCATTGAAGTTCTCGAGGGACTAAGTCCAGGGATAGGAGAGCCTGGTGGACAGGACGCTGCCCTGAGCGGTCAACTTCTGGGCAGCCACACAGCCCCTGATTTTTGCCAGGTGGGGTGGAACTCACAGCCGACCCGAGCGGTGATCTTTGAAGACTGTGCTGTCCCCGTGGCCAACAGGATCGGGGACGAGGGCCAGGGCTTCCTCATTGCCATGAGAGGACTGAACGGGGGGAGGATCAATGTCGGTGAGGACCCCGGGGGCAGGAGCGGCGGGCGGGCAGTGCGGTCCCCGGCTCACTTGACGTGTTGGTACCGTCCTTCCTAGCGTCCTGCTCTCTGGGCGCTGCTTACGCTTCGGTCATCCTCACCCGAGACCACCTCAAGGTCCGGAAGCAGTTTGGAGAGCCCCTGGCCAGTAACCAGGTAACTTCCCCAGTGTCCTAGCTTTTGCTCTTGTCTCTAGAACATTCCCTACAACTGTGGGGCCCTAATGTCTCTTGTGGGTTCTGCCCCCATTTCAGCCAGAACTTGTGCTCTACTTCTGTCAATAATTGTTTAATAATTTTTGCTTATAGTCGTGAAAAGATCCGTGATACATTGACTGGCAAGAAAAAGCACGACATTTTAGAGGAGTATGCTTCTGCTTTGTTTACAGAATACATGAATATGTATAAATTTTTTTAAATTAATTTACTTGTCTGTCTTTGGCTGCTTTTGTTCTTCATTGCTGTGCACAGCTTTCTCTAGTTGCAGCGAGCGGGGACTTCTCATTGCGGGGGCTTCTCTTGTTGTGGAGCATGGGCTCTAGGTGCGCAGGCTTCGGTAGTTGTGGCTCGAAGGCTCTAGAGCACAGGCTCAGTAGTTGTGGAGCATGGGGTTAGTTGCTCCGCAGCATGCGGGATCTTCCTGGACCAGGGCTCGAACCCGTGTCCCCTGCGTTGGTAGGTGGATTCTTAACCACTGCGCCACCAGGGAAGCCCTAAATTTCTTTTAAAAGATTTTTTTTTGATGTGGACCATTTTTTTTTTCTTAAGTCTTTATTGAATTGTTACAGTATTGCTCTGTTTTATGTTTTGATTTTCTGGCAGCAAGGCAGGTGGGATGTTAGCTCCCTGACTGGGGATTGAACCCACACCCCCTGAATTGAAAGGTGAAGTCTTAACCACTGGACCACCAGGGAAGTCCCTGTATAAATATTAACGAACCATTTTCAGGGATACATCTGAAAAATGCAAGAAGTAATTATTTCAGGGGTATGGGATTAGATGATTTATCTCTTTCTTCTTTTGCTTGTGTTCCAGTTTTTCTTTCTTTTTTCTTTATTGAGGTAATGCTGGTTTATAACATTATATGTTTCATGTATACTTTTTTTTTTTTTTTGCTCGCGCCGTGTGGCATGCGGCATGTGGGAATCTTAGTTCCCTGACCAGGAATCAAACCCGTGTCCCCTGCATTGGGAGCGTGGAGTCTTATCCGCTGGACCACCAGGGAAGTTCCTCATGTATACATTATAATTGGATTTCTGTATACACTACAGTGAGCTCACCACTGAAAGTCTGATTTCCATCAATCAGCATAACAGTTGATCTCCTTTACCCATTTCACCCTCCCCCCACCCCCTTCTTCCCTGGTAACCACCAGTCTGTTCTCTGTATCTATGTGGTGTTGTTTTGTTTTGTGCATTCATTTATTGTGTGTTTTTTAGACTCTTCGTATGAGTGAAATCATATGGTATTTGTCTTTCTCTGTCTGACTTATTTCACTTAACATAATATCCTCTTGGTCCATCCATGTTGTCACAAAAGGCAAGATTCCATTCTTTTTTATGGCTGAGTAATATTCCATTGTATATGTACACCCTGTCTTCTTTGTGCATTTATCTATTGATGGGCACTTAGGTTGCTTCCATATCTTGGCTGTTGTAAATAGTGCTGCAGTGAACTATAGAGGTGCATGTATCTTTTTGAATTAGTGTTTTCATATTCTTTGGAAAAATACCATAAGTGGAATGGCTGGATTGTAAGATAGTTCTGTTCCGTCCTTAGCCTAATGGGGTTCCTTTGTAGGTTATTGCCCTTTTTTTCTGACTGCCTTTAAAATTCTTTCTTTGTCATTGACTTTGGACAGTTTTAATATTATGTGTCTTGGAGAAGATCTTTTTGCGTTGAGATAATTAGGTGTTCTCTTAGTTTCATGGACTTTACACGTGTATCCAGTTCCTTCCCCAGGTTTGGGACACTCAGCTTTTACTTCTTTCTTTTTTTTTTTTTTTTTTTTATTTATTTTTGGCCGCGTTGGGTCTTTGTTGCTGCCCACGGGCTTTTCTCTAGTTGCAGTGAGCGGGGGCTACTCTTTCTTGCGGTGTGCGGGCTTCTCATTGCGGTGGCTTCTCTTGTTGCGGAGCACGGGCTCTAGGTGCGCGGGCTTCAGTACTTGTGGCTCACAGGCTCTAGAGCGCAGGCTCAGTAGTTGTGGTGCATGGGCTTAGTTGCTCTGCGGCATGTGGGATCTTCCCAGACCAGGGCTCGAACCCGTGTCCCCTGCATTCGCAGGCAGATTCTTAACCACTGCGCCACCAGGGAAGCCCTCAGCTCTTATTTCTGTAAACAAGCTCTGTGCTCCCTTCCCCTGTCTTTTCCTTTTGGGATGCCCACTGTCCTTCTGTTGCTCTTTCTGATGGAGTGGGATAGCTCTCGTAGGATTCCGTGTTTTTAATCTTAGCTCTCTCTCCTCTCCTACCTGAATCATTTCTAGATTTCCGTCTTGGAGCTCACTAATTCTCTCTTCCTTGTGGTCGGCTCGATCCCCATAGCTTTCTAATGCATTTTCCATCTCATTTTTTGAGTTCTTCAGCTCCAGAATTTTGGTTTTATTCTTTCTTAAGAGTTTCAGTCTCTTTGGTAAAGTAGTCCTTCTGTTCATTAGTTTTATTCCTGAGCTCATTGAACTGCCCGTCTGACTTTTCTCGTAACTCATCGAGTTTCCTCATGCAGCTATTTTGAATTTTCCATCAGTTAGGTCCCAGTATTCCATGACTTTAAGTCTGGTTTCTGGAGAGTTGTCGTCTTTCTGTGGTCTCATGTGTTACCGTGATTCTGTGTGGTGACTGGTGAGTTGTTCCTCTGCTGGCCCATCGTAGCCAGTACCTTCTTGGGTAGAGCTTTTTTACTTGGTTCTAACTTTCCTTTGGTTTTCAGCAGGTGGCGCTGTAGTGTGGGCTTTGGTTTCTCTCGCCTCTGCCACTGCTGCCAGAGGTGCTGCGCTGGGCGTGCTGGTGCTTGCTGTGCCGGGGCTGTGCCTGTGGCTGATGTCGCCTCAAGGGGCACTGCACGGCGGGCACCTCTGCCACATCCGGGGTTGCCTGGGTCACGAGCACTGCCACCACAGCAGGCGGGGTGGGGGAAGGGCGGAGCTGGGGTTGCAGGCGCCCTGCTGTGTCTAGCTTGTTGGGTTCGGGGTGCTGCTATGGCCTGTGCTGCTGCTGCCGGGGCAGGGGTCTCGGGCACCACGTCCACTGCTTCCTGGCCCTGCCTGTGCTGGGTCCCAGCCCACCCCCCGTGAGGTGTGCAGGGGCTCGGGGCCCCAGGGCGTGCCGGGCAGAGCTGTGGGCGTTTTACTGGTTGTAGGTGGAAGGGACAGACAGAGGGAGCGTCTTCCTAAGGAGGCGAGATGCTGAAGTGCAGGGAGTGCGGTGGACTTAACGAGGCACATTCTTTGTGGAGCCTGGGGCCCCTTAGAAGCGGCCCATGGTTAGAGGTGGCTCTCTGAGCCTGTCTGTGTGTCTGGTTCTCTTCTCTCCTCTCACTGCAGTACCTGCAGTTCAAACTGGCAGATATGGTGGCCAGGCTGGTGGCCTCACGGCTGATGATCCGCAACGCAGCTGTGGCTCTGCAGGAGGAGCGTGAGGATGCAGTGGCCCTGTGCTCCATGGCCAAGCTCTTCGCTACAGACGAATGCTTTGCGGTGAGTGGTGCTGCTGTCTGCCTCTCCTGGGCGACTGGCCTGTGGCGGGCTGGCTGGCTGCTCCTGGAATGCTGCGCAAGGTGTCAGTTACTCAGGAGAGGCCCACGTGGGCGCCCGGCCGCACTTCACCTGCTCCCCGCCGCCGCACATCAGGTTTCGTCTCTGCCCTTTGGCTGTGCGCTGGGTGAGATGCTGCCTTTGGAAGAAGGGTCAGACCACAGCACTGTTTAAATGTCAGGCACAGAGCCATTTCCACAGTGAGGCTGCATCTGCCGCTTGCCAGAACTCCAGCTGGTGTGGGGCGGGCAGCCTCTCCCTGCAGACGGCAGGCGAGAAGGGCAGAGGCCTCTGAGTCCCTCGTGGGTGGGGACTGGCTTGCTCAGGAGGCAGACTTCCCTCGTTGTCCCCGTGCACACAGAACCGGAGCCCCTCTGGCCTGGCTGGCACCTTCACCTTCCTCATGTTGGCTCAGGGCAGGCAGCCAGATCAGGGCTGGGGCAGAGAGAGGAGCCCCTGTTCTGGAGCCTTCTCAGAATCCGAGGTATCTAATCCCTGTGTCCCTGCAGATCTGCAACCAGGCCCTGCAGATGCACGGGGGCTACGGCTACCTGAAGGACTGCGCGGTCCAGCAGTACATGCGGGACTCCAGGGTCCATCAGATCCTTGAAGGTAAAAGTGGCCAAGGTGGTTCTCTCCCTTTCGGAGCCGTCACCCTGCCGTCTGTCCCCGTGCTTCCTGTCTTCCTCCTCCCTCCTTGCTCCTTTCCCCCGCTGGAGGGGCCTGCTGTGCTGTCCTGACCTGGTCTGGGGGCCAGGAGACCCTGCTCTGTCCCCGCGGAAGTCACTGAGTCACCCCCCTCCTGCTCTTTGCCTTTGTCATTTATAGAGACAGCGCAAACCAAGATAGCATCCGAAAAAGCATTCTGAAAATTGCAGCAGTGGCTGTTCACTGTTGTAAAATACTTGGTCCTCAGGGATCCCAGGACTTCTCCACAGTAACTTCCAGGGTAGATGTGAGCTAGTTTGATCTCCAGCCTCTATACACTGATCATGACCATCAGTGTTGCTAATGGAACTTTCAGTAAATTAATTGTCACACACGGGCATCTTCTTGCTGATCACAGGCCCACGGGCAGGAGATGGGTAAGCTGCTGGCGTCGAGCTCTGCAGCGCCTTCTCCACTCCACGCTGATTTGGAAGTCTTCAAATTACATGACTGTTTAGCCAGTAGGTAGCTGAGGCTGTTACACTGTAGCAAAGGCAGCAGATGAGGCAAAGGCTTATGGAAGTGACTTTGAGTGAAGGAACCTGAAGGAAGCACCAGCCTCGCTGTGGCTTCTGAAGCATCCTTCTCAGACCCGACCAGTGTCAGGACCACTGGGAGGATTTGTGAGCGCAGAGCTTCTGACTCCATGGGTCGTGGGTGGGCCTGGGGATCTGCATGTCTAACGAGGGTTCAGTGAGGTTGCTCCTGCCTGTCTGGGAGCCACATTGACAGCCACCACGGGGTGTCACATCCAAGTCACAGGCTTCAGTATCTGCTTTCTGCCGCAAACCTTGTCCCTAAAGCGTGTTTATGAGCAGGGTTGCTAGTGCGCAGGCCAAACCCCGTCGCCTCATTCCTTCTGTGAGTCCAGTCGTACGTGGCTGTTGCTTTCCAGCCTTGGTGAGTGCGGGAGACTTCCCTTCATTCTGACTCTTTCAACCCTGTTAGAATAACTGAGAAAAGCTAGATATGCTTATTTCAGGCCACACCATCATCCACTTGTAGGAAAATGTGCGCACTGGTCTTTGTCACTTGTTTCACCCCAGACTTTGTTATTGAATAGATAGGAAATTTCAGCTTTGATTTTATTCGAGATGTGTGATTTAGTCATTCTTCATGGTGGTTAATATTTCTTTTTGCATTAAAAACAGTGGAAATAAAAAAATAAAATAAGATAAAAAAAAAAAGAGTGGAAAAATGAAGCAAGCAATAACCCCCCCCACTTCTTTCAGGGAAAATGTTTTTGTTCTTTTAAAATTCAGTTTTCTGATTACCAGTGATGTTGGAATATTTATTGTTGAAGCCTTACAAGATATAGGAAAAGTTAAAAGAGGAAAAAGATCATCCATGTTCTGACATCAGAACGAATACTTTGGGCTCCTTTTATATTTAAGACCCAAAATATCTTCTTTTGGACCTCTTTCTGTGCTTGTATAGATACATTTTTTAAAGTTAATTTTTATTGGAGGATAGTTGCTTTACAGTGTTGTGTCAGTTTCTGCTGTACAGCAAAGTGAATCAGCTATACGTATGCATATATCCTCTCTTTTTTTGGATTTCCTTCCCATTTAGGTCACCACAGAGCACTGAGTAGAGTTCCCTGTGCCGTACAGTGGGTTCTCATTAGTTATCTATTTTATACAAAGTGGTGTATATATGTCAATCCCAATCTCCCAATTCATCTCACCCCACATAGATGCATTTTTTAAAAATAGAATTATACTACGTATACTATTGTATGTTCTGCTGTTTTATGTTGTTTGTTTTTTACCTAATAAAATCACTTTTACTATCAGGAGAGGTTACTTTTTTTTTTTAACATCTCTATTGGAGTATAATTGCTTTATAGTGGTGTGTTAGTTTCTGCTTTATAACAAAGTGAATCAGCTATACGTATACATATATCCCCATATCTCCTCCCTCTTGTGTCTCCCTCCCACCCTCCCTATCCCACCCCTCTAGGTGGTCACAGAGCACTGAGCTGATCTCCCTGTGCTATGTGGCTGCTTCCCACTAGCTCTTTTACGTTTGGTAGTGTATATATGTCCATATATAGAGGTTTTTTTTAAAGTAAATTTTTTCCTCACTTCCTGACATCTTTCAAGATAAAAAGCGACATTGCTGGGCTTCCCTGATGGCGCCGTGGTTGAGAGTCCGCCTGCCGACGCAGGGGACATGGGTTCGTGCCCCGGTCCGGGAAGATCCCACGTGCCGCGGAGCGGCTGGGCCCGTGAGCCATGGCCGCTGAGCCTGCGCGTCCGGAGCCTGTGCTCCGCAAAGGGAGAGGCCACGGCAGTGAGAGGCCCGCGTACCACAAAAAAAAGAAAAAAAGCGATGTTGCCCTTTACATCCCTAGTCAGAGCTTCGCTGACTCTCAGACCCAGCAGCTCCTAAGCCCCTCCGTCCTCTCTCGCTCTTGCAGGCAGCAATGAAGTGATGCGGATACTGATCTCAAGAAGCCTGCTGCAGGAGTAGCCCCTGGACTGAGGCTCCGATGGGAGGATCGGTGTCGAGTGGTTCCATGTGGACGGCGCTGTCACAGTGAGTCCAGGACATGCTGGAGGGGCTGTGCTTGTCCAGGGCACCATCACAGCGTCAGCTGGAGGGCGGCACGTGGAGGGCGGCACCTGGAGGACGGCAGGAGCTGCCCTGGCTGGAATGTTACAAGAAGACGTGCCGCCTTGTTTTCCTGACGCAGAGGGTGACCAGTGAACACTGACCACAAAACCACTGTCCTTTCCTGGATCCACAGAGTCTTGATTTGTCTGCATTTTGCTGGTTCACCAGATCCCTCTTCTGGGAATCTGGGTACTTCTGTTGAGGGTTTTTCCTGACGGTAAAGCAAAGGTGTGGGAAAGGAGAAATGGAGAGAAAGTGTCTTCCTGTCTTTTTCTGTTCTTTGTGCCTCGGCTGGAGATGCAGAAGGTTTCTGTGGGCTGCTCTTCCTTTGCAGCAACTCCTCCTCTGAATGTAAATCATGATGAAATGAGTGTTTGGAAATCCTTCTCCTAAACTGAGATTTAGGGCGTATCTGCGCTTCTGGACTATCTGAATATCAAGGGCTGAGATTATTTGGAACTGTGAATACTTGTTGTTTTAGAAGCATGTGGTCTGGGAATGGTATTCAAAGTTCCTGTAACATTTCCTTAGAAGTACTTTGAGTATACTTTTTTTCTGAGTTTTTGCTTTTTTGCTCCTCTTTTTAAATGTTTTTAATCACTACATTAATAAATCTACCCCCCTCTGCACCATTTTCAGGTCTATTGGTTTTTATTTTATCTTTCTAAATAAGCCTTCACGACTATTTTTTAAATTTTTATTACATTTAATTAAACATTTAACTAGACTTTGGGATAATAAACAAAAATCTCTCCTTGACCAAGCTGACTTTTTAAAAATAGGTTCCTTAAATTATTAATAGCCTTGTAAAGCAAGTAGTGTTTATGATTTATGAAAGTAGATTTAAAGTAATACCCAAAGATGTTGACTTTTTAGAGAACCCTGTTATAAACGATCATTGCATTATTTCATCTCATCTCTATAAAAGGAAAATCCAAGGTATTTTTTTAACTATAAGTCAGTGTTTAGAGAGACCAACATATGTGCCCTTAGCAACGACAGGTGTTTTCCATTTTGACCTCGAAGTCTAAGGCACTGTACTGGGTAGTGCAGGGGGACAGGCTGTGGGTCTACGGCGAAGTTGAAGTTAAATTTCCGCCCTCAGAAGCCTAACTCCACAGCTGCAGTGCAAGATAATGATGGGTCTACGGAAGAGAGAATGGTGCCGCACAAGTGTTGTGGGAAGGAATTCATGGAGAAAGTAGGAATTCACATTAAGCCTTTATGATGATGTGTGGTATTTAAAGATAACCAAGAAAGTCAGCTTCAGACAGGAAAGAACCAGGAGCAGGAAAAGTGCAGGCTGTGAGTGGGAGCTGTTTACACTTTGCCTCTGCGGGGCAGTCCCGGGATGGAAAGATTTAAGTTGAATCTGTATGCACCCTAACGAAGGCCGAGGTGTGGGTTTCATTTTGCAGTAGAGAGCCACGGAAGGCTTTTAATGAGGAAGGTGTGATGAGATTAATCCACTGAGAGGAACATTCTGGGATGCCTGTGGGGGAGGAATTTGAGTGGGGAAAGACAGAGCATGAGGCCGGCCAGTCAGTAGGTTCTTGAAGCCGGCAAGATGAGGCTGTTTGAGCCTGAACTTGCCAGGTAGCAGGAGAGTGGGTGTGCCGCCGCCTTGGGGCCTGGACGGGCTCCCGGTCCTCGGGATGCTTCCAGCGCCCAGTTCTGACCCAAGTCCAGAGCAGGTATGCTGTTTGTACCCTTGAGAGCTCTGTGAGCCGCTGGGATTACGCGCACACATGCTTTCGCCTTTGGTTATTTATTAGAGCTCAGCTTCCCAGCAGCCTGAATTCGGGCCCTGTGGCAAGGACACAGTGAACTTGGAGCTCATCTCTGTCACCGACCATTCAGCTGGTCCATAAGCGAAACCAGCAGAAGCAGAGCAGACAGGTCCTGAGGAAATCCACTGCCAGGGACCCTGGTGGGCGCAGGATGCGCACAGGTGACCAGATGCAGCCCAACGTGGCTGGATTTGACGGGCTGGAAGGCTGCTCGGGGTGTGGCATCGAGGACCAGGCCTGCACAGAGTGCCCGGCCGGGGGTTGGGGCTCAGGGGTGGTGGAGGGCTTGAGCCAGGGACGTGGTGCCTCAGTTACAACTGCACCTCCAAGGGGTCTGAACTCTTCCAGGTCTCCTCAGGCTGCCTCTACTCTGACCCTGTCACGGGGGAGGGGAAATTAACCACTCCAGTATATGGATGTTTGAACAGAGGATGATTTCGGTCACCTGTTAAAAATGTCTCTATCCCTTATAGATTTGAGAAATTAGAAGTCCTGTCTCTGCTCAGTTATTTTAAAAACAGTAGGACTTCTCCAAAACACTTCCCTGTAAACTATCTCCTACTTTTCACAGGGGGGTCCTTGCACGAACAGACACCCAGGAGGTTACACCCAAGAGATGTTTGTTGTGTTAATTTATTGGAATTGAATTGCAGGACAGCCCTGCTGAAAACGTGCTGCTGTTCCCTTGAGCCTGGGCTCTGGAGTCAGATTCCCCTGACCTTTGATTGCCAGCTTTGCCACCAACTGCGGCTTAAAGCAAAATCGCTTAAATTCTGCCTGTTTCCTCCTATAAACTGGAGAGAATAAAAGTTCCTCTCTCATAGGATAACTGGTGAATCAAGTGAAAGAATCCACACAAAGGGCTCGGAGTAGAGTGCAGTAAGCACTCTCATCCCACAGATGAGCACAGTGAACTGCAGGGAGGTTAAGTGTCTTGCTCAACTTACACATCTCCTGACAGACTTTAAAATATTTAAATCATGACTCGTGGTAGTCAATTAGTGCTGATTACCAGCTGTTCCCCGTCTGCCTCTCCCAGGTAAACGGCAGGATTGCATCTCCCTTTGCCAACATTACAGAAACACATACGCACAAGAACAAATCACTGAGGTTTCTCCCAGGATCTTAGAACATTTCCATATATATTCTTCTCACCCAAAGTTTGTCGTCTCTTTGGCACTGGAAAGGCCTGTCATTCCTGGGAATTAAGATCAGCCAGACGCCGTGTGAGTGAATGCTCTCTATGTCGGGGGGACAGGGTCGGCTGCCGCAGGGCCATGACAAAGTGTGCATCCCCACGCCACTCCCCAACACTACCTTCCCCAGGGAGGAGGGAGGAGGGGCCCACTGAGGCCAGGGTACAGTGGGAGACCCAGTGGACAAGTCTTTGCAGCTGGAAACCTAATCCCAGATGCTTAGTGACCTGTGGCAAGTAGTGGGTGAGCAGGGGAAGAGGGGACCAGGGCAGGGTCCCCGGGAGCCAAGGTCACCTCCGCCTCAGGTGTGTCCAACCTCACTATCTGTGAGCAAGGTGATGCTCCGTGTCCTCTGGTCCTTCCACTGTCTCCTGGCTGGTGTCTCGTCACCCAGCTCCGTGGTCCAAAGCCCAGGGGGGATTTCTAGGTGATGCCCTCCTGTCCTCACAAACAGGGAAGTTCATCCCCACAGGACAGGAGGAGCAGCTGCCCGTTCTCTCCAGGCCGGCAGAGGGCAGGGGAACCTCCAGCCGCCAGGCCTTGGCCGCGTGGGGCCTGCGGATCATTTCCGGCGCGGTTCCGCTCAGCTCGGATGCGGATCTCACTCCTCAAATTCACACCATTACAGCGTTGTCACATCATCAACATCACCATTCTCTCAGGCGTTGGTAGAGCCGTATACACAGTACAAACGTAAGCAACACGCCTGGACAGCCTACTGGCCACCTTCCTCATCCCTCACCCGGATCACGGCCCTGAGCCCCTCACACTATTCTGGTCTTTTCCACAGAAAATCTGGAATATCACTGTTTTCCATTTTGTCTGTAAATCATCCTGTGGGTCTAACGGGTGGTAAACTCTTCCACAGGCTTTAAGGTTGTCAGAGTCAGAAATACACCTGATGCATCTCTCTCTCCTTGGTGCGTTCCTGGCATCAAGCAGGAACTCGATGTTTATTGAACAAATAGAGAACAACTGGAGAAAAGCTATCGTCACCCATGTGATCCTGTAGCTGGCGGCCAGTCCCATGCAGGAACAGGCAAGACACATCACCCAAAGTCGGCTACACACTAAGAACTCGGATGGAGCCCCAGGGAGGCGAGCTGAGTGCAAAGGCAAGCTCACAGGGCTGTGCACGTGCGACCCCTTCATAGAGCATTCCAGAAATGATGCTGCTACTGAGATGGAAGCCGGGATTAGACGGGGGACGGGAAGAGAGGAGCCGCCATCAGGGGTGCAGGAGGCTGTGGGGGGACAGCTCTGCACCGGGATCATGCTGGCGGCCACAGGGGCCACAGATGTGAGACAGTCGCGTGGAACTCTGCACACACTGGTGGCACCTGGACGAGCCCGGGTTGCGCCCGCGCGTCTCACGCTGCTGATGCCGTGTGCGCCAGGAGCCAGTGTGGGGCACGGGGGACCCCACGAACGTCCACGTTACAGCTTCCTGTGAAGCTATACTTACTGCAGAATAAACACTGTTTCCAAGTCCCCTGGCCAGCGAAACTGCACTTCCCGGACCCAGCCTCCCGGTCCCTGCTGTCAGGGCAGCTGCAGTTTGGGGCCACGCAGGTGCCAGCAGGACGCGGGAGGCCTGAGAACAGGGCACGGTGGGCGGGGGTCCTTGTGAGCGGGCTCAGGAACCCCCCCACGGCCCCGGAGCTTTCTGGGGCCGGGGGAAGAGCAAGACCCCTGGGGCCGAAGGCTCGGAGACGGTCACTGTCCACCCTCCCCGCCCCACCCCCCAGCAGTGTTCCCCTGTACAGGTCTCGTGGGCCAAGGACTTGGCTTCTATTCTGCGACAATGGAGAGCATTGGATGGATGGGTGCTGAGCGGGGAGGACCTCAAAAGATCTGCTTTTCAGAAGCC